TATAACATTTTGAATACTAAAATAACACATCGCCAAAACTAAACAATGTAAACTATATTGTATCACTTCCATAAATAACATGTAAAGTACAATGCATGGATTGATAAAAGTGCATCAATTTAACTATCCACAAAAACAAACGAGCCCTTAGTCTTTATGAATTTGTCAAATCGGTTATACAGTTATGCTGGTTTAGCAAGTGTATGATTTGATTGGGATACAACTGGTTTATACTGGTTCACTTCTATTTAACAAAATATGTCAAAATGTGAAAGTCATTAACTTCAAATAAATTTAAGCATATATAAAACATATTTGAAGACAATCTACTTATAATGTACATTCATATTTAAATAAAATACATAAAATATTTATATTTAAATACAATATTTGACATCAATAACTAGGGATTTTTCCAGAAATAGCACCTTTTAAAAAAAATTACAAAAATAGCACCCATCCGAAAAAATTGACAGGAATAACACCCTTTTTAATGGAACGCACCTCTAAGGTGCGGTCCATATTCCTGGACCAAAACCGCATCTTGGCCAAGCGGTTTTAGGTCTGACCTACAAAAACCGCTTGGCCGAGGTGCGGTTTTGGCCTGACCTATCCAAATCGCATCATGAAGGTGCGGTTTGTTTCTCCCAAACAAAACCGCACCCCAAGGTGCGATTTTGCCATACAAACCGCACCTCCAAGGTGCGGTTTTGGTCAATCAATTTCCGACATGCCATGCAGAATAACACACGTAACAGATGTGGATCTGTATGGGCCTGCATGGCAGACGAAAACCGCACCTCTAAGGTGCGGTTTTCATTAGTGATTTTGCCTATAAAAGGCCTCCCGGAAAACCACTTCTCTTCACACCTCTCCTTCTCCCTTTTCAATTTTCTGTTGTAGCTCTATATTTCTTTAGTAGTTTTGCGATTAACGTTAACTCGTAAGTTTATTTTGTATTACTTTTTATTGTTATTTTTTATTTTTATGATATTAACTGAACTACGGTTTTATCGCAGATGGCATTCCAAAAGTTCACGCTTGGCTTACGGTGGAATGGTTACACGGAAGAGACGGGGAAAGGGGGTCACCTACGTCGGTGGCAATTTTCAGAAGATAAAGGTCGCTACCAGACCGCTGCTTGAAGACCTCTATCAAATGTGCACTAACGTTACTTGCATGGATGTCACGAAAAGAGTTGATCGTATGGTGTACCAATATCCAAACAGAGATAGTGGGTCATTGTGGCATGAGGAATATCTCATAACCACTCAGGATGAGGTAGATGCCATGCTCGAATTCATGAGGTCCAACAATCTTTCCAAAGCCGAGATGTTCGTTTAAACCGAGCCGGTCGTAGGCGTTGGAGGTCATTCTGGACACGGTCAAACATCTGGTATCCATGGTGGAGGTGAATTATATGGCGATCATCCCTACCAAAGTTACCATGATCCTCATTCATATTTTCAGTACCAAGAGCAAGGTGAAGGTCATCATCAATCTTTCCCGTCATATGAAGAAGAAGTTCAACCGAACCTCCCCAACCAACCTCAGTACAACTTCCACTTAGGCAGCGGTAGTTTTCACAACTACCATTATGGAGCTGATGAAGGTTCCTTTCATGAGCTGGATCAGATGGAGGATGCTCTACCAGCACCAGTTAGTGACCCCTCCGATGAAGAAGGAGAGAACAACTTCAGTGCAGACAGCTCCGACCCTCTTGAAGCTGCTGATGATTCAGGACCAGAGTTAGACTCAGCTAATGATGATGAGGTGGCTCGTGATCGTGTACCAGTCCCCTACTACAATCACATTCCAGACGACAATTGGATGGTCGACATCGACATGGAGCCGCTAGAGGTCCCAATATGGGGTCCATTCATTGAGTTTATGAAGGGCCAACAATTTGGCTCGAAGAAGGAGGTGCGGCACGCCATTGAGACAGAAGCAATGACTCGGCATTTTGAATGGCACACAACTCATTCCAACACTAAAAGGCTCATAGTCAGATGCCGTAATCATTACGAGGGGTGCAATGTTAGGATTCGGGCCATCAACAGCAAGAGACACAGCCACTGGGTCATATCCCGTGCGGTGAACACACACACATGTGTGTCATCTATAACTTCCCAAGGCCATCGACAGTTGAAATCCAGGGTGGTTGCTGCGGCTATCAAGCATCTAATATAGCAAGATCCGGACCAGAAGGTGAAAGTCATAATCGCTGACATTGCAAGTCGTTATGGTTATATGATTACCTATAAGAATGCGTGGCATGGAAAGCAGAAAGCTCTGGCCGCCGTCTTTGGTGATTGGGAAGAATCATATGCATTCCTTCCCAGGTTAATTTTGGCATTGGAGGCGTCTAACCCTTGCACGATTTTCACTCCTCGATACCAAGATGAAGAGATACAACCCCCAGATCCAGGTAACAAGCGCCATTTCAGATGACTTTTTTGGGCATTCAAGCCATCTATTGATGGTTTTGGCTTTTGTGTCCTTGTGATCCAAGTGGATGGTACATTCCTAACCGGCAAGTACTAGGGCACTCTCCTGATTGCCAGTGGGGCGGATGCAAACAAACAAGTCTTTCCTTTAGCCTTCGCCATCGTTGAGGGAGAGAATGCTGATAGCTATGGATGGTTTTTCCGGCAAATTCAGCTCCACGTCACTAGGAGGACGAACCTGACAATAATCTCTGATCGGCACGCCGGCATTAGAGCTGCCATCTTAGGTTTAGATCCAGCCTGGAAGTGGTCCCAAAGGTAGTGCATACGACACTTCAAAAGCAACTGGAACCATCATTTCAAGCGGAAGAAGCTTGCTGATAATTTGTGGTGGATTGGAAAGGTCTCTATTAGCCGTATAGTTTTGTCAGCTAACAATATCTTGTAATCAGGAGAGTGGTGCACTTGTTAGACTCTTTCTAAAGTGATGCATGTCTAAGGAATGGGGTTTTAAGCGATTATCATGATCCTCCCATTTCCTGGGAAAATCGGGTTTTAAGCGATCTTCGGATCCGCCCATTATCATGAAAAGACATTTCATATAATTAACATAATAACATTCTAAATTAATAATAATTTAAAAAGATACATACATATTATCATAAAACAAACATCCTAAATTAATTAACATAATAACATTCTAAATGAATGATAATTTAAAGAGATACATACATATTATCGTAAAACAAACATACTAAATTAACTAAAATAAATGACATTGTTAATGAATAATAATTTAAAGAGAAACATACATATTCAAATGTTTGAAATTAATAAAATTCATTTTGTACACATCAAAATAAATCGTATTGGTTGTTTGGTAAATAATTTAATCGTATTGGTTGTTTTAAATAATTTAATCGAATACAAAGTAACACTCGTTAGACTCTTAGAAGATGTATACATCTTCTTAGAAACACAGTCTTTTTGACAGAAAAAGGGAGGGATCTGAGGATCTCTTAATACCCGATTTTCCCAGGGAATGGGAGGATATGATAATCGCTTAAAACCCAATTTCCTTAGACGCGCATCTCTTTATAAAGAGTCGAAGTAAGTGGCGCTATGTATTCGATTAAATTATTGAAAACAACCAACACGATTAAAAATTCAACATAAATTTATTTTATATTCCACTAAATACATTAACAAAATAAAAGAAGGACAAATGGTAAAGAATTGTATGTACCGGGTGAGCGTTCCAAACATCCCTTGACCGATGGTTGGGTTGGTCGTACAAGTCGGTTGGATCCAACAGTCCTTGCTCGAGATAATACCGTTGGTTGTATATATCCACGTCCTCCCCAACCTACGAGAAAATAACAACGAGGTTAGTACATAGATTAATTAAAAAGCTTATAACAACAACAAAAATTAAACCAGAATGATGAGTACGTACCGCTTGAAATTCATCAACATAAACTCCCTCTCCTTACCACCAATCGGCCATTTTTTCGGCAAATTCGGACAGAGATTCGGCTCGGCGCGTTTTGAGGAAAAAACCTAAGAAATGTTTTCTGATGGCAGATCGGACTTAGCTGCAACCAACAGACCACTATTTCCTAGGCTTTTGGGAGGGGAGGGTTTAGAGAGATAACTTCTAGAGAGAGAAGGAAGAATGGGTTGTGGTGTGAAGAAATGAGAGGGGAAGGGAGGGTATTTATACCCAACAGACCGCACCCTCCAGGGGAGGTCGGGTAATTTTGCCCAAAGAGAAACCGCGCCCTCCCGAGGCGGTTTGTGCTTCCCTAGCTTTGACTGCATCTCGGGGATGCGTTCCCCGATCTGTGGAGCGGATCGCTTCGCTGGCGCGCGTTCAGCCCTCTGATCGCTCCTCCATCCAACGGTCTTGAAGACCGTTCCGCAGAATATTTAAACCGCACCTTCCTAGTGCGTTTCCTGTTCTGACCTTGCTTGGAACGCACCATAGGGGTGCGTTCCAATAAAATTGGTGCTATTTCTGTCAATTTTTTCGGATGGGTGCTAGTTTTGTAATTTTTTTTAAAGGTGCTATTATTGGAAAAATTCCCAATAACTAAATGTTTATATTTGAATTCAACAAATAACATCAACATTTAATTTTCAAATTTATGAAATAAATTTCAAGGTAATCATTTTGGTAATTAAATTTACTAAAACGATGTTATTTTATTTACATATTATAACCAAAGTTGTCAACTCACAAGTCGACCCGAACCCGATGAGAAAAACAGGTGCCACACACTCGCACCGCGACCAATAACAAGGTTTTTGGGTAGGGGACCACACTATGTTGGTTTTTTCCTTTTATTTGCAAAATGGGCTTGTATTTCGATTTTTTGTATATGTTGGATCTAGGTAATATTTCCACCATCGTGTGCGTGGCAAGTGGCAACATGAATAGAATTAGTGAATTACAACATCCCCAACACCAACAGGTCAGAAAGTCGGTTTACAGTTTACGATTTGAATTCACGGCGGCGGAGCTGCACTCGCAGGAGAGGGACAACCGTCGCGATGTCTAGCACATTTCATTTCGCCAATCTAACTTGTCTCCCTCTCAAATCTTCCTTCTCTCGCCAATTTCCCTGTTTCCCGTCCCATCGACAAGCTCTTCTGGCGTCCACCGCCACCGTCTCCTTCAATGGCTACGGCAGCAGAAGACACCGACCCCTCACGGTCCGTGCCATGTCTGCTCCATCATCTCCTTCTTCCTTCGGGGCCAGGCTCGAAGAGACGGTGAAAAAGACTGTGGCCGAGAACCCTGTTGTTGTTTATTCCAAGACTTGGTGCTCGTGAGTTCTAATTGTATTTTACTTTGTTACTTCTCTATCGCCCTACATTTGTTTTAGTTTTGATCAAATGCGGAAAAATAATTTCAAACTAGGTACTCCTCTGAGGTGAAGGCGTTGTTCAAGAAGTTTGGAGTGGAACCCTTGGTTATCGAATTGGATGAATTAGGTACGCAGCGGTGGACACATTTTCTGATGTAAAATCTATTATCTTTCTTTCAGCTGAATGAGTTCCTGAGGCCTGATTTTTGGCATCTTCTTCTATGTTTGTTGAGGGGCTACTGAATCTGGATTTGTTTCAGGTGCCCAAGGACCACAATTGCAGAAGATTCTGGAAAGGCTTACTGGCCAACACACTGTTCCAAATGTGTTTATTGGTAAGATTTGCATATCTCAGCTTTGCAAGGATATTACAAGTTGTCTTCTTCAATAGTCCTTTCCTGCAGCAAATGTTCGGCTCATATGTCTTTTCTGGTTGTGAATTTAAGCATTCGTGACATTCTTTGTTTGGTTCACTTCCCTTGGCTGTTGAAAATGCTTATTTAAAGACATCCTGTTCCTCAGTCCATATCACCAAGAATCTGTTAACAGAGTATGTCAGTGTGTATATCCATACTCAGACTGTCAGACATGCCACATTTGCTTCTCCATCCTCTTTAATGCTTCTCTCTGTGGAAACTCGCCTACTTTACCACTCAAGTTTATACGATTGCTGCAAAATTTCTGGGTTACCGACTGCTGTATAGAAACTTCGGATTTGTTTGCTGGACAATGATGCTAGTCATCTGTCAAGTAAAGTTGCGACTTGGGAAAAGGGATAGCACCATATTCAAACCTTTCCAGGCCTTGTAATGTGTGCTTTCAATGGTTTGACAGCTATTTCTAAAGTGTGTTTGAGTTGTCGACTCTCTAATGTTCTGCAGAAATTCAACTGAAAACAACTTGTTAAACAAATTAATTATCTCCTCAATAGGTTCCGCAAGTTTTGAATGTTCGAATTCTTAATAAATAGCTATGTAAAGAAAGACTACCAGTTCCGCTTGGCCTTGCATAAATTATATGTGAAGCCCCACTAGGTATCTGATTGTGTGCCTGAAACTGATGTTCATCCATCTGCCTCTGCATCTGTACACAGAAACCGATGGAGGGAGAACTCCTTAACTTTTACATGAATTTGCAGTTTGAGATAGACTTGGATGTTGTTTGTTTGATTATCTGGGTATGCAGATTGTAATAACACAGACTACTTGTTCTCCGTGTTTCATCTTTTCTGGAGAACTTGGAAGTTCCTCCATTTTAATTGTTTCTGAGTTGGTCTCATCTATATCAAGCCTAATGATCTGGTACTCTTTGTGAACAGGAGGCAAACACATTGGTGGTTGCACAGGTACATTTCATACTGTAGTTATTATCTGGATTCCTCTCTAGTTAATGCTATTATATATGTGTCACAATATAGTTTGGGCTGTATCCAACATGCTTCACAGTTTCTCCTAAATTAATATCTATCCGGCAGGCTGTCTCTATCCTATTAAAGAAACAGCTCTATGTCTTTTTTTTTTTTTTTGTTGGTTTTACAGGGATGTGCAAGATCTTTTTTTTCATATGGGTAATAAAAAATTCCATTAAAACTCAAGGTGCAAGGATACACCAATTCCTTGGCACAAAAGTAATGCAAAACCAATGTAACTAACTCCTAGCAAACTCAGTACCCAACTGCACGCCTTCACCCTATCCACTGATAGTACACTAGCACACTAAACATTGGTAAAATCCTCCTGTAAGCCTCGTTTCCAGCCATAGCTAACTCAAGATTCTTTGAATCTTGGCTACCACCCGTGCAACGTCAATCCTCACATCTCCACGTAACCTGCTGCATCGCTCTCGCCACAGTACACGTACAGTAACATTTCACACTAACATCCCTTACCTTAGCAGATGGCCTCGTAGCCGAGAATTGCTTCACAGCCCAACCTAGGAAAGCCTAATACCCCTGATACCGTCCACAGTTCATCTTAATCAGCTGCAGGCTTTTGTTTAATACTTCAGCAGTGAACACACATTGGAAAAACAAGTTTGACCTGGTTTCTGGAGCACTCCCAAGAACAGACAAGCATCATTTTTAGATTTCCGAATTCATACCAGGGAACTTTGGGTTGACGTTCTCTGTGATCATTCCAGACCTGTTTCGAATGACTGGTCGTCACTATTCTTGCTTTGTTCATTTTGCAGATACTGTGAAGCTTCATAGGAAAGGTGAACTTGAGTCTTTGGTCGAAACAGCCACCAAGAAAGGCAGCCAGAGTTAGCCAACTTTATCGCCCTTCTGCAGTTGTGAGGACACACGAACACTTTCAAGTCCTGGATTCCTAGGCGGGATCTGCAGCACTTTTATGCATGAACCATAATTTCATTTCCATTGTAGATTTACTTCTAGTCCTCATATGGGATTTTTGCCGATATTATTCTATGTATGTATTTTCAGTTCATTCGTCTTGTTTATTATGTTGGTGGATTTTACTATTCCATGCACACATACTGGCAAGGGCAAACAAGGAGTGTTTCCAGGATATGTCCTTGTAATTGTACGATGTTAACTAATATTATGACTGGTGAATAAACTTTATGACACCTAAAGCCGTGACAAATAAATTGGATTGATGGATTGATGAAAGCACTGCTGGTTTCATGTATCAAATATATTAAATCAAATGTATTGGTGGGCTCGATTAAAGATTTAAGTGACTTGTAAACATTGGACAAATATACATTTAGATTGAGACATCATCAAGAGTTTGGAGGGTTAATTGCATGGTTGGTCACTGAGATTACAAAAAACGGGGATTTTTCCAGAAATGGCACCTTTAAAAAAAAAATTACAAAAATAGCACCCATCCGTAAAAATTTACACTAATAGCAGCACCCTTTTTAATAGAACGCACCTTGTAGATGCGTTTTATATATAAATCGCACCCTACGAGTGCGTTTTACAAATAGATCGCATTGGTAGGGTGCGTTCCAATTATCTGGACTCAAATCGCACTTTAGCCAAGCGATTTACCTCTGACCTACTGAAATTGCATGGCCGAGGTGCGATTTTAGGTCTGACCTAGTAAAATCGCATGGCCGAGGTGCGATTTGTTTCTGCCAGACAAAATCGTACCATGAGGATGCGATTTTAACATACAAACCGCACCTTGAAGGTGCGGTTTTGCTCAATCAATTTCCGACATGCCATGCAGGCGTTACAGACGTGGGTCTGCATGGGCCTGCATGGCAGACGAAAATCGCATCTCTAAGGTGCGGTTTTCATCAGTGATTTTGCCTATAAAAGGCCTCCCGGACAACCACTTCTCTTCACACCTCTCCTTCTCCCTTCCCTTTTCAATTTTCTATTGTAGCTCTATATTTCTTTAGTAGTTTTGCGATTAACGTTTACTCGTAAGTTAATGTAGCTCTATATTTCTTTAGTAGTTTTGCGATTAACGTTAACTCGTAGGTTGATTTAGTATTACATATTTCTTTAGTAGTTTTGCGATTAACGTTAACTCATAAGTTGATTTAGTATTACTTATTTCTTTAGTAGTTTTGCGATTAACGTTAACTCGTAAGTTGATTTAGTATTACTTTTTATTGTTATTTTTTATTTTTTATTTTTATGATATTAACTGAACTACGGTTTTATCGCAGATGGCATTCCAAAAGTTCACGCTTGGCTTACGGTGGAATGGTTACACGGAAGAGACCTGGAAAGGGTGCCACCTACGTAGGTGCCAATTTTCAGAAGATAAAGGTCGCTACCAGACCGCTGCTTGAAGACCTCCATCAAATGTGCACTAACGTTACTTGCATGGATGGCACGAGAAGAGTTGATCGTATGGTGTACCGATATCCAAACAGAGAAAGTGGGTCATTGTGGCATGAGGAATATCTCATAACCACTCAGGATGAGGTAGACTCCATGCTCGAATTCATGAGGTCCAACAATCTTTCGAAAGCCGACATGTTCGTTTACACCGAGCCGATCGTAGGCGTTGGAGGTCATTCTGACACGGTCAAACATCTGGTATCCATGGTGGAGGTGAATTATATGGCGATCATCCCTACCAAAGTTACCATGATCCTCATTCATATTTTCAGTACCAAGAGCAAGGTGAAGGTCATCATCAATCATATGAAGAAGAAGTTCAACCGGACCGGCCCAACCAACCTCAGTACAACTTCCTCTCAGGCAGCGGTAGTTTTCACAACTACCATTATGGAGCTGATGAAGGTGCCTTTCATGAGCTGGATCAGATGGAGGATGTCATGCCAGCACCAGTCAGTGACCCCTCCGATGAAGAAGGAGAGAACAACGTCAGTGCAGACAGCTCCGACCCTCTTGAAGGTGCCGATGATTCCGGACCAGAGTCAGACTCAGCTAATGATGATGAGGGGGCTCGTGACCGTGTACCAGTCCCCTACTACAATCACATTCCAGACGACAATTGGATGGTCGACAGCGACATGGAGCCGCCAGAGGTCCCAATATGGGGTCCACTCACTGGGTTTATGAAGGGCCAACAATTTGGCTCGAAGAAGGAGGTGCGTCACGCCATTGAGGCAGAAACAATGACCCGGCATTTTGAATGGCACACAACTCATTCCAACACTAAAAGGCTCATAGTCAGATGCCGTAATCATCACGAGGGGTGCAATGTTAGGATTCGGGCCATCAACAGAAAGAGACACGGCCACTGGGTCATAACTCGTGCGAACACACACACATGTGTGTCATCCATAACTTCCCAAGGCCATCGACAGTTGAAATCCAGGGTGGTTGATGCGGCTATCAAGCATCTAATTGAACAAGAGCCGGACCTAAAGGTGAAAGTCATAATCGCTGACATTGTAAGTCGTTATGGTTATATGATTAACTATAAGAAGGCATGGCATGGAAAGCAGAAAGCTCTGGCCGCCGTATCTGGTGATTGGGAAGAATCATATGTATTCCTTCCCAGGTTAATTTTGGCATTGGAGGCGTCTAACCCTGGCACTGTTTTCTCCCCTCGATACCAAGATGAAGAGATACAACCCCCAGAGCCAGGTACCAAGCGCCATTTCAGACGACTTTTTTGGGCATTCAAGCCATGTATTGATGGTTTTGGCTTCTGTGTCCCTGTCATCCAAGTGGATGGAACATTCCTTACCGGCAAGTACAAGGGCACTCTCCTGATTGCCAGCGGGGCGGATGCAAACAGACAAGCCTTTCCTTTAGCCTTCGCCATCGTTGAGGGAGAGAATGCTGATAGCTATGGATGGTTTTTCCGGCAAATTCAGCTCCATTGTACTAGGAGGACGAACCTGACAATCATCTCTGATCGGCACGCCGGCATTAGAGCTGCCATCTTAGGTTTAGATCCAGCCTGGAAGTGGTCCCAAAGGTGGTGCATACGACACTTCAAGAGCAACTGGAACCATCATTTCAAGCGGAAGAAGCTTGCTGATAACTTGTGGTGGATTGGTAAGTTTGTAATTAGCCGTATAATTTAGTTCCAGTTACAATATCTTAGTACATTTGGCGAGTGGTGCACTGGTTAGACTCTTTCTAAAGTGATGCATGCCTAAGAAAATGGGGTTTTAAGCGATTGTCATTATCCTCCCATTTCCTGGGAAAATCGGGTTTTAAGCGATCTTCGGATCCCCCCTTTTTCTGTCAAACAGGCTGTGTTTCTAAGGAGATGTATACCTCTCCTAAGAGTCTAACGAGAGTAACTCCGGGCTGTTCGAATTTGTAAAAATGCGGAAGATTGACTAACATACTACTTTTCTGTGTCTTCCTCAGCGGTTGCCTACCAAGAGAAAAAATTCTTGAAGAAGATGCAGAAGTTTGGCGACATCCTTTAGTGTGATGGTGGCCTCTCCTTCTCTAAAGTTGAAGCAATGGGTCTCCTTTCTCCATCTCTCAACAAGGGCGGTGATGAGTTGGCGATCAACTTTGATGCCGTTAAAATGCCTAATAGAGTCCAATCGTGCCCTTTTGAGAAAGGGCAAGATAGCTGGGTGGAATGGGAGCACATTGGTCGTACCCCTATAGCGGATTATTGCTTGTGCCTCCTAGGGAAAATTTACAAGTTAATTATTATATATTAGTAAGGGTTTATTCCTTATAACTAAATTAATTAAAGTAAATTATTTAACTTCAAGCAGAATTTTATTATCATAAAAATACATTTCATATAATTAAAATAATAGCATTCTAAATTAATAATAATTTAAAGAGATACATACATATTATCATAAAACGAACATCCTAAATTAATTAACATAATAACATTCTAAATGAATTTAAAGAGATACATACATATTATCATAAAACGAACATCCTAAATTAATTAACATAATAACATTCTAAATGAATAATAATTTAAAGAGATACATACATATTATCGTAAAATAAACATACTAAATTAACTATATTAAATGACATTGTTAATGAATCAATATTTTAAAGAGAAACATACATATTCAATTGTTTGAAATTAATAAAATTCCATTTGTACACATCAAAATAAATCGTAAAGGTTGTTTGGTAAATTATTTAATCGTGTTGGTTGTTTTAAATAATTTAATCGAATACAAAGTAACACTCCTTAGACTCTTAGAAGAGGTATACATCTTCTTAGAAACGCAGTCTTGTTGACAGAAAAAGGGGGGATCCGAGGATCTCTTAATACCCGATTTTCCCAGGGAATGGGAGGATATGATAATCGCTTAAAACCCCATTTCCTTAGACGTGCATCTCTTTATAAAGAGTCGAAGTAAGTGACGCTATGTATTCGATTAAATTATTGAAAACAACCAACACGATTAAAAATTCAACATAAATTTATTTTATATTCCACTAAATACATTAACAAAATAAAAGAAGGACAAATGGTAAAGAATTGTATGTACCGGGTGAGCGTTCCAAACATCCCTTGACCGATGGTTGGGTTGGTCATACAAGTCAGTTGGATCCAACGGTCCTTGCTCGAGATAATACCGTTGGTTGTAAATATCCACGTCCTCCCCAACCTACGAGAAAATAACAACGAGATTAGTACATAGATTAATTAAAAAGCTTATAACAACAACAAAAATTAAACCCGAATAATGAGTACGTACCGCTTGAAATTCATCAACAAAAACTCCTTCTCCTTGCCACCAATCGGCCATTTTTTCGGCGCAATTCGGACAGAGCTTCGGCTCGGCGGGTTTTGAGGAAAAAACCTAAGAAATGTTTTCTGATGGCAGATCGGACTTTGCCCAACCAACAGACCACTATTTCCTAAGCTTTTGGGAGGGGGAGGGTTTAGAGAGATAAAACCTAGAGAGAGAAGGAAGAATGGGTTGTGGTGTGAAGAAATGAGAGGGGAAGGGGGGTATTTATACCCAGCAGATCGCACGCTCCAGGGGCGAGGCGGTAATTTTGCCCTCGCGCGGATCGCACTCTTCCAATGCGATTTGTGCTTCCCTAGGCGCGGATTGCACCCTTCCAATGCGATTTGTGTTTCCTTGGGCGTGGATTGCTCCGCTGGCATGCGATCTTGGATCCTTGGGGCGGGTCGCTCCGCTGGCATGCGCTGAGCCGCCCGATCTTCCCTCAATCCAACGATCTTGAAGATCGTTCCGCGTCCTCCCCAAATCGCACTGACGTGTTGCGTTTTATTTTATGGATTGCACCCCTCTGATGCGATTTACATGTAGATCGCATCTGTTTGGTGCGTTTTACATGTAAACGCATCTTAGGGGTGCGTTCCAAAAAAATTGGTGCTAGTTTTGTAATTTTTTTTATATGGGTGCTATTTTTGTAATTTTTTTTAAAGGTGCTATTATTGGAAAAATCCCCAAAAAACGTTCAAGTTTGGTCACTCAAAATATTTAAATACATTGGTGGTACTTCAGTTTACTGAAACCGTTCATGTTTGGTCACTCTCCGTCCAACTCCGTTAACTTTTGCTGATGTGGCAGTCAACTCTCAAATTTGACCGTTAACTTAGTGACGTGGCAACTAAAAAATTATTAAAAATAAAAAAATTAAAATTTTATTTTTCCACCTCATTATTACATTCATTAAAAAGTAAAAAATAAAAAACCTAATTTCTTTATTTTTTAGACAACGAGACTTGCTTGATGCTTCCCTCCCGCGGCGGCTCCGATGGTTCAGCCGGGTCGTTCAGAAACGTGGGCTGCTGGCTTCAAGAGGAATAACCAAAACTCTTACTAATCTGTCAAATTGAATATTGGATTGAAAGTCCCCTCTTTCCAATGCCAGTGGCTAAATGACACCACCCAAAGCAACTGATTCATTAGAAGAACATGGCCATAGTGGTGAAGTTCAACAACCTTCCCTATTATGATCAGTGAAGGAGAAACTAACTCGGCTTCTGAAATCTTATAAGCAAGATCCTTCAGTTCCGCGAAAAGCTGTAGATAGTAGAAATAGACAAGTCAGCATTCTCAGCCGCATGGAAGAAAAAGAAACACAAGAGCAAATCTTCCACTAGTTGTCCAAAGCTTACAATGCGCTGTTGTGTTGTGGTTCCTCTCTTGACTGCAGCAGCCGGTGTGTCTTCCGGCAAGCCATGATGGATCGATTTTGTAGCAAGAGAAGGGAGAGTGGCCAAGCCCATGTAAACCACCTGGGTTGAATCAGGGTCAACAGCATTCTCTGCAACAAACAGTGGATCGGTGCCTCCTTTCCTTGAATGACCGGTTAGAAACCTTACGCTATTGGCAACCCCTCGGTGAGTTAATGGGATTCCCAATTCTGCTGCAATTCCTGAAGCTGCTGTTATGCCTACGAAACCACCGTGGGTTGGGAGATAATTGGGGCGTTTAATCAAAATCCTCAGTTTAATCGGCTTCCTGAATCTCTCTGGCGGCTGCAATCGGCGTCTGCTTCTGCATCTTCTTCTTTTCCTTCTTTGATGCGTTCATCCTCTGCGGCGGGCCGCAATCTTTCCGGGAGTCAATTCTCTGGCGCTTGGTCCCCGGGGATTGCACGCTTTCTCCGGCACCGGCGGTATCTTGTTTCCCAAATCGAACACGAATTATGAGCACCATCGCTGCGAAATTCTCAGACACTTTGCTATGCGCTTTAGTTTCAGAGCAATTCTCAGTGGGGTACTCTGTTTTCTTATGGGGATGCGTCTTTGGTACTCTGTTTCCTTTTCTTCTACTTATGGCTTCACTGTTATTGTTCTGTTTAGCGAGGCGGAGGAAGCATCGGAACCGCCGCGGGAGGGAAGAAGTCTCGTTTTCTAAAAAATAAAGAAATTAGTTTTTTTATTTTTTATTTTTTAATGAATGCAATAATGAGGTGGAAAAATAAAAGTTTATTTTTTTATTTTTTAATAATTTTTTAGTTGCCACGTCACTAAGTTAACGGTCAACTTTGAGGGTTGACTGCCACATCAGCAAAAGTTAACAGATTTGGACGGAGGGTGACCAAACATGAACGGTTTCAGTAAACTGAAGTACCACCAATGGATTTAAATATTTCGAGTGACCAAACTTGAACGTTTTTTGTAATCTCAGTGACCAACCATGCAATTAACCCAGAGTTTGGAAGAAGAGAAGTTTTTATTGATTTGACAAACATGAATTTTCTTTGTGAAGATAAGGGGAAAATTGAAAATGATGAAGTAGTAGTAAGGAAATGTGTATTTATAGGGGGGAAAATTAATATTGGAGACTGAAATAATCGTTGGGGGAATTTGTGTGTGGGGGCGGGGGTGGAGATAGTTTTTTTTTTTATACAGAAATGATTATTGAAAGGATAGGCATATAGACATCTCATTTTGTCCGGTTTGAAACATATAGTTAATTAGAGAGACTTTAGTTTGTTCAGTATTGACACTTGCGACTCTTGAACATCTTCATAACTAAAACGATACTTGAGGTGTTTGAGGTGAGGAATTGTATTTTAGATTGACATGATTAGCATTAGCAAATCTCAATGTGCCAATATAGGTGTGAGGTTTGGGTTTGACTTTCCATATGATTCAAGGGCATTGTGATATTGTGCTTTAGTTTTGTTAAATAAATTAAGGCAATTGCTTAATCTCGTCGGGTTTGGATTGGCTAATGTCACTTTTTGTTAATCATTTTCTTCAGATGTTAGGATTTTGTGAGTCTAGGTTTTGATTTCAAAACAATAAAAGGAAAACGATATAGGGATAACTTTTTATTATAAATAAATAAAAATAATAATTAAAATCATAGATATTCAACAAAACTATAAATACAGCTACTAAGTAAATATAAAATTAAAATAGCAATAAAAAAAATAGAACGTCAAAGCTCATTCAATAAATAAGTTCAGTCCAAAGTTAAAGTCGGAAGCTCAAGTCAAGCTCATGATCAAAGCAAGTTTATTCGAGCGTATTTACCCATGTTTTACTCATTCATATCTTGATTGTTTGACTTGTTAATTATTGTCACTCAATCAATTTTACGGTAGGTTGTGCTTCTTTTGTCACATTTCAGGTTCTAGTATGTGTAGGAACGTTGGGGATGAGTTTCAGGACATTGGGGTGTCAAAATGAGCCAAAGGGTGAAAAAGATGTAGAGATCACGGGATGGAGGTGAAGATCGCGGCCTTGGATGGTGAAGTGGCCAAGCAGGGCGTGATCTCCCAAGGTTCCAGAGGGCTTCACACAATTCGCGGGCAGTTTCGAGACCATAATCTTTACAAGGAGACCGTGCTCTTCTTCTTCCAGCAATTCCACGTCCAGTAGTGGTTCTTCCTCTTCCACTAGCAGGATCTCGTCAATGGAGCTAGATGAGTAGGGACATTCATTATCTAGTTCCTCGGCAGATTCCTCTATAGAAGGGAATCAAGGGAATGATGGGTTATGAGTTGGAGAGCTAGAGGAGGAAGCTGCTCCTCACCGATCAATTCGTGTGACACGCGGACAACCACCTGTTCGCCATCATGGTTACATTGCCTTTGTTGCTGATCCTATTCTTATCCCTGCGAATTATAAGCAGGCTTGTGGAATTCCCGAATGGGATGCAGCCATGACATAAGAAGTTGATGCTCTAGAAGAGAACCAAACGCGGGACATCATACCACGTACTCTAGAGATGTCTGTTATCGTTAGCAAGTGGGTGTATAATGTGAAGTTGGAAGCCGGATGGTTCACTTGAACTATATAAGGCCCGAGTTGTTGCTCAGGGTTTCAGTCAAGAATTTGGGATTTTCTATGATGAGACTTTTGCACCGGTATCTAAGATGCAGACTTTGAGATGTGTTCTTGCGCTAGCTGCAATGAAGGATTGGCCTCTTGTACAACTCGATGTCAAGAACGCATTTCTCCATGATGATCTTAAGGAGACTATTTACATGGCCTATCTAGATGAGTACTCAAAAGGAGGTCCCGATGTTGTCTTTCGTCTGAATAGATCACTGTATGGTCTCAAATAGGCTCCCCGAGCTTGGTTTGAGAAGTTTCATGGTAAGATCATTCAGGCAGGATTTTTTCAGAGTCAAAACGATCCATCGTTATTTCTGAGAACTATGGTTCACAGTATCACATTCTTACTATTATATGTTGATGACATAATTATTTTTAGGAAGTGATCAGGAGGGAATAAGGGAGCTTAGCGTGACCTTGCACCAAGCCTTCAAGCTTAAGGAATTGGGGGATGTTTCCTACCTCCTTGGGCTGGAAACAAAGCGGATAGACGAGGTATATTTGTAGGACAAAGGTAGTATGTTCAAGATTTGTTAACTGAACATTAGTTTGATGACTGCAAGCCATGCGTGATGCAATTGGAACGAAATCTGAAACTGAGCAGGTCGAGTGGGGATCCGTTTGATGATCAGACCAATTATCGTACAATTCTCGGTATTCTTTGATATTTGAACTCTACACGACTAGGCATTGTATATGAGGTACAAGTGGTTAGTCAATACTTGGGAATATCCAGGACAATGCACTTAGATGTAGTTCACGGAATACTACGGTATTTGAAAGGGACGCAGGATATTGGTATTTTTTTTCCAAGACAAGGTGAGCTGATACTGGAAGCTTTTGCAGATGTAGATTTTGTTGGATGTGTTGATACCCCGAGATTGAAATCAGGATGGTGTGTATGGTTTGGACAATCCTTTATCTCATGGTGCGACAAGAAACATGAAAGGGTTTTCAAGTCTTCTGCAGAAGCCGAATACAAATTTATGCTTGAGGTAAGCTACGAACTGGTTTGGTTAAAACGACTATTGGGAGATTTGGGTTTGACTTGTATGATGCCCATGAAACTATATAGTGTTAATACTAGTGCAATCAAGCTTGTTACCAATCCAGTATTACACAAATGGACTAAGCACATCGAGACTCATGTTCACTATATAAAGCAACTGGTTAAAGGAGTCGTTCACCTATTTGTCGACGGAAGATTGGACTGCAGATTTGTTGACAAAGGTTGTTGGTTCAAGTCATCATTGGTATTTGTCTAACAAATTGATGTTGAGTAAGCACCATTAATTTGAGTGAGGATGTTGAATATGCCGATTTTATCTAGTTTACGTAGCTTTTAGTAAATATGCACAATTTACCGGAGTTACCTAAATTAGGCTGGCTAGGATGTTAGAGAATAGCCGAACCAAACGTATCTATGAAAATGCATACCTTGAGTATGAAAATGCTATTCAGAATTTGAATTGATTGATCTTTCGGACATGATACTATACTCTAACTCTTAAAGATCAACATCTAGGTCTTAATTCTCTAAATCTTATACCCCAAGATCAATTTAATTAGAAACAATAATCGACGCTTATGATTCATCCAAATATAGGCAAAAAAATCAATGCACCATCTTAGGGTTTATAGTTTATGATTAAGATAATTAGGACCTAGGGTTCGCTCATTAAGGGTTAGGGTATAGTATCATGCCCAAAAATCCTTCTAATTCGAGGTCTAGATAGCGTTTTCATACTCAAGGTATACGGTACCCTGGATTTTACTCGGGGTACTGTAGAAGGCATCATATATATATGGTGACTTCTATCATACACCAGACATATATTGAGGTATGTCGTACACCAGCAATATCCACCATCCACGTCCATCTCAACGGCCAGAGTTAATGCGGGTTCTTTTTTTTATGGAATTAAAAACTAAATTATCTCATTTATCCTGAACATCAAGAAAACCACGAAAAATCCGATGTTCTCGTGTTGTTTAATTTTCCAATTTTTATCAAGGGGCGGTTGACAAGACGCCAACATGCCTTCCTTCTCCGCCTGGGAATGCGTCCAACTCCCTACTCCGACGCGTCAAGGGAAATCATGGGGGCAGAGTTTTTGCTCCCCTTTGTTACGAGACACTGAATTGAAGAATTCTTAACTCGTAACTTCCTTGCGATAAAACTAACAAACTACGATAAAACGCGATAAATTGCGATAAAACGAAATACAATAACTAGATTTGGGTTCCAATCTTCTTCATATCATCAAACGTAAGACAAAGTACATATCTATACGCATATAAGCCTCTACTTTCTCCTATATAGAACATGAATACTACTCCCACAAGAAAATGTTAACCAATTCCTAAACATACTAGAAAACAATCACAATTCTACTAAGACAATTAAACAATAATAATATCCTCAATAATACGAAATACGAACTAATTAATAAAACTACTAAAAATATATGAGCCCAGAAATTCCTAAATTGTCACAATGACTCGTCACGTAACACCCTTGTCGTGTTGTGTGCCAACTTAGCACTCCATACCTCATTTCTTAGCACTTTGACCCTTTTTGATGTTTGAGTTTTGAGCTATATTTTGACTTTGTACTACCTTATTGTAGATGACCTAACATTCTAATGGTGCTTAGTGTTCCACTTCTCATTACGGAGCTGATTTAATGGGGTTCGAAACTAAACTATGAGGAGAAGAAAGAAGAGGGGCGGAGGATAAAACGAAGGGTAAGGTGAGGTGATAGCGCAATAGAAGCTGTGGAAGGGATGAGCATGCATTTGAGCTTTAGACGGAGAAATAGGAGAGACTTGAGATACCCACCCAACTGTTCAAAATTACAACAGTAGAGAATAGAAGAAAAAAATATACAACACTAATACAATCATTCCATCACGACACAACTCATTTCACTTCGTCGATTTCGTCCAAAGCATAATTGTTCGTCGATACATTTGCGTAGTTAACTTTGTCGAATCGGACCACAACTGGGTAGCGAGTCTTGGGGTCCTGCGCAACCAACAAATTAAACCAAACAGTTGAGTGGAAATTGAACAGAGAAAAAAAAAAAAAAAAGGAACCAAGATTACAACTTCCAAATTTGTGTCTCACCTGATCAACAGCTACTACGGATCCAATTCCATTGAACCAGTAGGATTCCCTCCTTAGAATCTTCACCTGTTGCACATGTTTTAACAACACAGATGCGTCAAGCCTTTTGCTGTATGATGATCAGTGAATAGAAGTAGAGGGAAATATATTATATATATAGTAACCAAAATCTAACCTTGGTTCCTCTCTTGGGTCCAATCGGTGGTGGCTTGACCTTAGCCTTAGGAGCTTCACCATCTGCGGTTGTAGTAGTAGCAGCAGGTGGCGCCGCACCCTCGTCGGCGGCCGCCCTCACAACGAGCTGCAGCCTGGAACCGCCGCTGCTGCTGTTGTTCTTGTGTGGGAAAAACAAGAAGTTGGTGCCGCTTGTCTTCGAGGCAGCAGAGGTTGTTGTGACGTTGGGTGTAAAGACAAACCCTGAAGCGGCTGATGCCATGTTGCAGCTAGCCATGATTCTGGATTGTGGAAGTTGGCGTTGGGAAAGCGGTGGCTTTTGAGTTTGAGCAATTTGTGGGTAAGTTCGAATTATCTCTATCTTGGAAGCTATGAGGGTAAAGTCAAGGGGAAGATCGTTTCATCCACTGAGATACTGCCACTTGTTCACCATATCTCCTTCCTATGGATAATGTGATTACAAGTCATCTCCCCACCAATTTTAATAGTTCGGATGCCCTCCGCTCAACCCCGGGCACCGAGATCTAAGTTAAGTGCTAACACTCTTTTTAGAAAGATGCTAGCTAACACTTAGGAGTGTTTGGAATTTTAGAATTTGGAAATAGTGTATTACAAGAACGTGTATATTAAAAATGTGTGAGTTTTAAGAACGTTTTGTTTGGAAAACATAGAAGAAGACATGGGTTATACATGAAATAAACTACGGATTCTAAATCTCACAAAAAATGTGACATTAAGAGGTCGCTTGGTATTTGCGAATTGATGTACTGTATGAATATTTGCATTATAAATTGATGCATTGTATGAATATTTGCATTATAAGATTACAGGTAGTTTTGATTGTAATTTAAGGAATAAAATGAGAAAGTCACATTTTAAGTGAAATCCTTTTCTTTTACATACAAGAGTAACAATGCATAAAAGTTAATATAAAGAAAAAGAAAAAATGAAAGAACAATCTCAAAACACAATCTTACCAAATAGTTGAGACTGTAAACCATGTCATGTTGAATAATTTAAAGTGTCACATCATCAATCAAATATATGCATTGTATTTTATTTTGTAAAAAAGAAAACGATGCATTCTATACAATACATGCATTCATTAAATGCATCATTTAGATACGTGTATACCAAACCACTCCTAAGTATACAACACCTTCTATGTATTATGAATACATCATGCATTCTCTATACATACATTTTGTGATTAAAACAAGTAAAAAAAATTGTATTCTGCAGAATACATGTATACTCATAATACAACATTTAGAATCGGGGGTTTAATTCAACAAGAACATTTTGTTCAAAGAGGTGAAGTGAGTGTGGAGGTAGTTTTTTAAAGTGAGCAGTGTTTCTTAAGTTAAAAAATGTGGCATGTTTATAGCTCTCTTTAGCCCCCAAAGAAAAGATAAGAATAAAAAAAAGAGATCAATAAGAGGGCAAAGAAGAAAAGAGAGTGGCCACCAAAAATATAATAAATGTTAAACATGCTCAGTGTTGCTTAGCATGCAAGCTTTATGAACACTCACATGTTGTTTGCCTAGCAAAGGTAGCAAGAAAGATTGTTGCGAATGGTTTGGTGATTGGTTGTGGTTTGGAATCGAGGAAAGTGTGGTTTTTGGCCGATGCTAGTGGGCAATGAGTATAGGAGAGGGTTCTAATCGAAACCTTAGAACCTTTTGTGGTTTTAGGATGGAAATGTGGAACCTTGTGCTATGTTTGCCACCACCCAAAAAGTCTTTTCCCCATGTCCTAGACCCTATCCAGTCATTTGAACCTGTGTCTAAGACCTCCGGAAAAGCTAGCAACGACACCCATCTTGTGAGCTCTAACAATTAGAGGTTATCGTCATGGTAGAGGGACGTTAGGATTCAGCGTGAATATGCACATCTTTTGCATCAAATGGTCCTGACCCCACTGGTCGAGAGTCAGTAATTCATTCATCATGTTTTCACTACAAAAAAGACGGTCAGTTATAACCAATAGTTTGGCGTTGGTAATGAACGTTTTTCGTTGCAAATGACTTGTTATGACGACATACATTTGTTGGGCGTCATCGGAAAAAGTCCCATCGCAAAAAATGGAAATTGGTTAGGGCGTCATAAATAGAATATTTGTGACATATGTTTAGATGTCAGTAGATATATTATCGTGGTCATAAATAAATTATACTTGATGCTCAGAAAATGATGAAGTTTATTTTTGACGGAATTTTGTTTTTTATAACAACCAAATGTTGTTACCTATAAATAGTTAATGACTTAAATACCCTTCGACTATATTTACCACGACTTTGAATCGTCGCAAAACTGTACAATTTGTATCGATATTTTAATTCCTAAAATACCCTTTTGTAATTTTTGACAATTAATGTTTGCCAGAAAAAAAATTGTCACAATAATATTATTTGTGATGAATCAGGATATGTTGTTGTTAAACTTTAGAAAAAATAAAATGTTAATTTTGTGACTAAGAATATTGGTTGGGAATATATTTTGTCATAAATATTATTATTTGTGATGATACTTTATTCGTTGATGACGATTATTCCAAAAATACCCTTTTGAATTTGCATCGAATAATTTTGGTCGGTAATAAAAAACTTGATACTTAATTTAGTTGTGATGGAATTTGTTTGGTCACTAATATGTTTTATGAGGTCCAGTTGTCCTAACAAGTTAAATATGAAGCGTTGGAAATGATGTTACATATCGTCAAAAGTATTATCATATGTTATCACAAAGAACTTGTCACAAATAACTTCTCACAAATAAATTATTAAGCATTGAAAATGATGTTAGATATCGTCAAAATTATTATCAATGCAATTGTAATATTATGTTTTAATTGCAATTTCATAAATAATTAAAAATATTCGAAATAGCTAAAAGACAATTACTTGGATATAAAGAAAGGTGCCATACGATCACCATTGTCTTACATACTGGATAGTTAAGACATGTGGTGTACACACCAATGTCTTACATGCACTAAACGAGTGCACAAACAAAACATTAAACATAGTCTTTCTTGCACTAAACGAGTGCACCCACAAAACATAAAACACCACCGTCTTTCTTGCATTAAATGAGCGATGCTAAAATCTAACAAAGGAAAAAACACAACGAATAAACACCACTCCTAGCTGCAGACCTCCATTGCACGTCGACCACTGCATCATCAGTTTGTCCCATCACCCTCCTCGTCATCTTCACTGTCGTCATCTTCTTCCTCACCATCAACTTCTTCATCATCATGCTCCATGTCATTGTTGTTTGCAGCCTACATCATCGTATAGAACAGGAAAAGTGGGAATTACTCATTCATTACATACATACATTTAATAATACATAAGAAAAATGGGATCAGACTTACATGGGACAACTCTGGCAGCTGGATTCCAAGCCTCTTCAGCGTCGCCTCAATAACCAGAGGCATATTACGGTTCACCTGCTCGATCTGTTCTTCCATCATTCTCATCTTCTCATCGTTCTTCTCCTTCTCTATCCTTTGATCCTCTTTGCATTTTTTGCTGCAGCCTTGGCTTGAAGTAGAGCCAAACACATCTAGGCCACTGACCCCACAACCCATCCTATGCACTTAAACACTTGAACACCAAGAAATATGATTGGAATTCAGAATGTGTTTACTTACATGTAGAGCCTGAGCCTTGGGAGTGGTGAAATTATCCTTTGTTGAATGAAACTTCCTGAAAGTCTCAATAGGATCAGGTTCTCTGCCCGTTTTCTTGATCTGCAAAGACACAAGAAATCAACAAGACAACACACTCATACATACAAAAAAGGGGAATCAAATAATAAAAGAAATAGGTACTTTTTTTTTTGTAACACACCTCTTCCAATCTGAACTTTGCCAAGGGAGCAGAACCACAAGTTGACTTCAGCTCACACTTCTCACGGTTCTCCTTGTTCTTGTCAATTGTATCCTGCAGGTTTTGGAAAAAGCAGAAGCACAACTAAGTTGCTGATTTATATAGCATACTCATACTACTCGAAACGATGTCGCCGGTAAACCGCTCCTCCATTTTGGAACGGACGACAGTCTCCCGGCAGAGGGCGGTTTAAGTGATTTTGAGATTTTGGTAAAGTGAAAAGGAGGATGAATCGTCCCCTTCACTACTCTGTTATCTCCTTCCCGAGAAGTAAACCCCCAAACGGCGCCGTATTTGTTTTTTATCTCCTTTCCGAAGAGTAAACCCCCAAACGTCGCAGTTTTTTATTATTATCTCCTTTCCGAGAATTAAACCCCCAAATGGCGCCGTATTTTTCCTTTACAGCAGTGGTAACTATTGGGGTACGAAAAATAATTAAACTAAATGAAATTGCAATCCTCGATTATTAATTGAAATTAACAAAAGTCTAAATAAAAGTCTAAATAAATTCTTCATAACAAAAGTCTAAATAAAAGTCACCGTATAATTGTAACAAAAGTCTAAATAAATTCTTCATAACCCTGTCTAGTCAAACTCAAGTTATAATCGTCTCCGTCATCCTCGATTATTTGAGGATTATCGACAATTGCGTCTTCTTGGTACGCATGTTCTTCGAGAATTTCTTCTTCCTCAGCTAGATTATAGAAATTTCTCGGTCTTGTCACAATCACTGTGTACCAATCTCAATTTCTGACGCACTGCACATAATACACTTGAAGTGTTTGACTCGCCATAACATACGGTTCATCGGCATGGCGCTTACGTGTCCTATTAAGGGTCACCACGCCGTGCCCATCCCTCCTGGAGCCTAAACCTTCTCTCGTCGTGTCGTACCACTCGCATTCAAATAGCACCACACGAAGGCCTTCGGTATAGCGAAGCTCTATGATATCTTCAATGACGCCATAGTAAGGAATTCCAACGGCATCTTCACGTTGCACCATTACTCCGCTATTTTGACCTGTCTTAGTCGCTTCATGCTTTCGCGTGTGGAATCTAAAACCATTTATGCAATATCCTGTGACGTGCAAGACTCGTTTGTCGGGTTCTCGAGATAAAGTCAACATAGAAGGATGCAAATTTGCAACCTTTTCTTCGTGCATTTTTCCTACCTATAAATTTAAATTAAATTTGAAAAAAGGGCAACAAATTTTTTTATTTAAATTTATGTAAATAATTAACCAAAATTTAATTACCTTCGTTGCGAACCACTTTTGAAATTCCTCCATATGTACTCACTCAACCATTCGAACTCCTCGACTACTTAGCACTTGTTTGTGCTCTCTGTATATGTATGGGAAATAAATTATTACTGTGTTTCTAATAATTATATTATAATGAAGAAAGACATAATTTTGGCGAACAACTAAAACATACCGGATAAATTCCTCCACTTCGTCACAGTTTTGCAGGACATAAAACGTGGCCGCCTTGAACTTAACTGCTCCGAGGTCTTTCATTGTAGATGAACCAATGCTACGACCGACACATGACACGATGGAAAATTTGTGTTGGTCAATGGGGTTTCCCTTACAGCTATCATCATTTCTTTCCGCACGATTAAATCTCGTCTCAACATCCGTTAGATATTGGAGCAAAATGTAACGCACTCGTCAATCACATATGCTACATCAATAGA